AATTTGAATCTTGGAATTACAGTACATTCAAATTCACACGGAGAACCGCAAGAAATTACGGATACTTGCCGTCCCCTATTCTGGAAATGATATGTCGGCTAAATCGTCTCTGTAGGGAACACGACCCAACTCCAATTGCCCATTAGGATTCATCAACCCCTTTTCCATGTGGGTTTGTACTACTGGGTCGTTCTTCGTCTCAATATATGTCTTTACGGTGTCTTTCCTAACGGTTAGGTAAAGTACCGCCATGACGTACGTTGCCATTAAAGGAAACACTATGATCCCAATGAACACTTTTGCAACCTTAGGTAGACTGCTATGAATTAGCCAACTCACGAACCCTGTAATGAGGTAGTACACATTGATTCCAATTATCCCTGTCCCGAGAATCCATGACATGACTATGATCTGTACACAAGTTTTGCCACTTTTTTATTCAATTTTGATTTTGATTTTGATGCACAATGGATCACATAAAGGCGAAAGCGAAAGAAGAACAACTCACGATGATCGAATTCTTGTGAGGACCCATCTTGGTGCTGCTGCTGCTAAACTTGAGAAGTGGGATCAAAGCGAATGGAAGCTCAAATGAAAGTATCATCTGCAAAATCATTTTCATGAACAAAGTCACGAATTTGACACTAGCACCCAAAGTGTGAGCTTTGATGATAAAGGAATGACAAAGTTTGAAATCGCAAACCGAGGCAATGATGATAAGTCGTCCTGCCCCAGATGATCCACCAATAATGGAGACAATAAGACTAGGAGTTATTGCAATAGACCTAGTGACCAAATTCCTAATCCATTTTTTCATCTTGAGGTCCAAGAAACCCTATAGAACCAAACAAGCCAGCCAATTTCAGGAAACAATAGTCTCCCACAAAAATAATGGTTGGAGAGGACGATGATAATGATTGTGGATTGACCTGCATAATGTATTGCCCAGCATATGTGCCAGTAATAGTAGAGCTTTGGCCAGAGGCAAGTAGCGCAACCGCGTAAATGATTGAGCTGGACCGTCCCAGAACATTCTACAAATACAAACGATGAAAATGAAGGATGGCCGGGAATTAAGTGGCTAACGGGGATTAAATTCGATGTAGTGATTGGATTGAAATTATGGAACTGCGGGAACCTCGAGGAGGAAAGAAGCAGAGTTAAGAGTAAGATCGCTGCAACGATCTGCATTTTCCTCAGAAATGTCAGGGGCGGAACAAACAGTGCCAGATACGGAAATTACTGCCACATTGATTAGAAACGCTATAAGGAGTGCAATTCCACTCTCTATCAGAAAGTATCTACATGCATCCTGCATTGGAAATCAATAAAACTTCATCAGTGACGTAATCAAATGAGATAACTTGTTTTGAAAACTAATCATATCTGGGGGAAAAAAAATTAAAATTGCATACATTAACGCCACGCACTGTAGAGGGTACTTGTCTAGAAAGCACAAGAGCAGAATGAAGGAAGATGTTGTGGCTGCATGAGTGAGGTGAAAAGAGATGAAAATGAAGGAGGAGAAGATGGTAATAATATTAATGGGGGGAAGGGGAAGGGGAGGATACGTACGGCATAACAAGAGCACCTAGAAGGGCAATAGCGTCGGCTGTGGCTGAATGACCACTGAGTTTGGGCACAAGCATGCCTTTCACTACATCAGAAGCTGCTGGCTTTACGTAGCTCATTTCTCCCCAGAAACATCCCGCCATTATAAACACTAGCATTGATATCACCATTTCCAGCTTCCTCACCTTATCATCCCAAGTGCAGATTAAATAAATAAGATCAGATCAAGCTAACTATGGGGGAAAAATATGCTAGAATAGTAGTTTACCCCAAATGTCTGCAGACCCAGGAGCAAGAGAGTGCTGAAACCAGTTAACAGAACTCCGGCCCATAGTGGGATGTGGAAGAGGATGTTGAGAGCAAAGGCGGTGCCAATTACTGCCACACAAGGTTGCACATATATAAATTAAAGCTAATACAAGAAGAGTACGGATAGATATATAAAGCAAACATTAATGAATTAAGCAGTACCTTCGGGGATGTCAGCGGCTATGACGGCAGACTCGGCTAACAACCATAAGCAATACTTGACCAACAAGGGATACTCCGCTTTACATAATTCCGAAAGGTGTTTGCCTAATTCCCAGAGATTCAAACATATATCACCCTCAAAAATGTTTTTTCACGTACATATGTACATGTATCATACGTGTTAGTGTTATATATGCACAAGAGAATAATTAATTACCAGTGCTTACGCCGAGGTTTGCGGCCAACGACTGAATAATGAGAGCAAAGATGAGTCCAATAAAAATCACCCACAGCAGCTGCAAATCGTAGCAACCAAGTCATCAATAGAAAAATTCTATGGGCGCCCACGTCCAACTTGATCTGTTCCATCATACACTGTGCAATTACGTACACTCATGCACGTAAATGGACGTCTGTGTGTATGGCAATAAGCTTTTAGTAAGTTTAAATTACATGGCTGATTTGGTTCAATTTTGAACAATCATGATTGCATTATCAATAAAAATCCTTCCACTCCTTTTCATTCTTTCTTTAGACGGCAGCTCTGAAATGGAACCAAATGGACCCTATACTTGTGAGTGTTAACGGGTGCTGCAAATTTGTTGGGACTTCGATATATAAGGTACCTCATATCTGTGGTTGGCTCCGGCTTGGAGATCAGTTTCCACTGCGATGACGATGAGTGATGACTATTTTAGCCATAAGCAGACACAACATACACGAGCAACAAAGTAGAGAGAGAAATTAACTAAATGGTCGAAGAAGAGAGAAGAAAGAGAATTACGGTTTCCAGGATCAAGGTAAGCCAAAGAGACCAAGAAACCCGGACCTACAAATGCCAGGAACTTCCTCCACGCTGGTGGTTCCTGTTTCATTTGCAACACTACTATTAACCACACAGCCTAATTAACAGCCAGCTGCTAGATATATTGCCCGCACATACATACATATAAAGGTAGCTATACCCAAATTATGATTGCAGGAAGGGGTAGTATACTGGGGAGATAGAGTATGAAATGATCAAAGACCTGGTGATTTGACTCAGCATTTAGGGTAGATAATGGAAGAGATGCCTTCAAGACTGCTTTGTGATTGGCAGCTTCAAGATGCTGCTGTGGGCTTCCCATTGAAGGATGTATACACTGGTAATTAATCAAGTTTTCTTACTGGTTTTGTGGGAGTGAAGAAACAAGATTGGAAAAGGGATTATACAGTTAGAGTTCAAAATGAAGTTGAAAACGTTCCATGAGTTTCATATGTCAGCCTTCGGCACGTCACTGTCTGCTTGCATAGCAGACAAGAAATACAATACAAATACAGAAAACGGATTCACTATCAGCTTATCTTCCCCATCCACAGTACTGTCAAGTGGGTGATTTATTTATCATTTATCGAACCAAAAAATACTCTGACGCTACCTCTTCACTGAATTCCATTTCTATATTTCTTTGATTTTTTTTTGACGACTTGTATATTTCTCTGATTGGATTATATATATATATATATATATATATGTTTGTGTGAAAAATAAGGAGTAATACTGCCGCTTGCACTATTTTGTGCGTTGGAGGGCTAATCCATCATGACTTTGGATCGGTCATTTCATATATACTACAAAATTCTAAAATTTGTGCCAGGTAAAAATATTTCTTTTATTTCACAATGTAAATTTCCTAATAAAATCAACTCTGAGAATGAAATTAAACTCATAACTTTATTTTTTTTAATTTGAAATACAGAGTCATGTGTTGCCTGGGATATATATAATAATACTCATTCGGTTCTAAATAAAAAACCTATTTTATAATATAATTTACACTACAAAATAGGTTTTATATTTAGGACCGGAGGAGTATCATTATAAAATTAATTTTACAATCCATTCAAATTTAATGTTGAATAACTTAAAGTTAAATTAATTAATCATTAAAATATTTAAAACCTGGGAGGCCCTCAAATTTTCAAGAAACAGGCGAGGTACATATTTTGCACAGGTAAATGATAAGGATAGGCTATGAAAATCCAATTATGTTCTGAAGAACCCCGCTATCCTCGGCGATAACGCAAGTAGTAAAATAGGATGGGTGATGAGGATTAAAAGTGACCTTCAATTTCTTTTAAGTTTTGTGACCAATTTCTTGGTCTCATATGCAGTTGATGATGAAAGTAAGGATCGAAAATTTAAAAGTTGGACTATATTTCAAAAGTTTGATACTTTTTTTCATAGTAAAATCTTAGACAAAATTTGGGCTCAACATTCAACTGAAGCCAAGGATGAGACGCTTCAATTACTCGTGATATTAATGTTGGCAAGATGAACTTATATTATATTATACCCTCAGTCATCAGCCTAAACATCCCCACTTTAAGAGGCCTTCCTGTTTGGATGAAAGGGTACATTTCCTACAGCTGAGCCCACTGACGAGCCAAGTTTGATGCTATAATGCCAGACCCATCGTCATTAATTACGGGCCTCCTTTGGCCCAAAAAAATTATTTACAGGACTGGGCTTTTGTTGCGTTATAGTTATGCCTCTGTTACGGTGTTTAATAAAATTCAGGTCTCAATGTGCGTCTATTCTCAATATCTCTGAGTAAAAGCAGGAGGAGGGGGAGAAATAAGTGAAGATATATAACTCCGTCGTTCCAACTTCCAATAAAGACAACTCTACAACGTCGCGCATAAGTGCGGCAATGCCCGTTGACTTCAACAGAGTATATACGAAACTTGGGTTTGAGGTTTTATTCATTAAATTCTATAGGCAGGATACCAAACACAATTACCCTTTTTCGACCCATCCGCAATGATCTAAACAACATGATGAAACTTATATTGGAACACTATAGCACAATATTCCAAGTGCCACCCGGAGAAGCACGTACACAAGATATCAGAGACACTTCTGCAGGAAAATTTTTAGAATGAACGAGCTTCGGATGTTCAATGCTGTGGTTCTGGTAAAGCGACGATTGGAATTAGGAGTGGCCTATTCAGGGAATGGGACGTCGGCTAAATCCTCTCTGTAGGGAGCATGACCCAACTGCAACTGGCCATTATCAGGATTTACGAACCCCTTTTCCATGTGGGTCTGTACTGTTGGGTCGTCCTTCGTCTCAATATATGTCTTCACAGTGTCTTTTCTTAGGGTCAAATATATCACCGCTGCAATGTAAATTGCCATCAAGGGGAAAACTATGATCCCAATGAACACATTCGCCACCTTTGGTAGGCTGTGTGAATTAGCCAACCCACGAACCCTGTACTTAGGTAATACACATTGATTCCGATTATCCCTGCCCCCAGAATCCATGATATGATGATGATCTGCACGTAATTAATTAATTGTGTCACGTCTCATGCAATTTTGATGCACAATGAATGGAGCATATAAAGGTGAGAGAGAAAGAGATGGACTCACGATTATAGAATTCTTGTGAGGACCCATCTTGGTGCTGCTGCTGCTAAACTTGAGCAGTGGGATCAGAGCGAATGGAAGCTCAAATGAAAGTATCATCTGCAAGATCATTTATTTTAGCACAACCAAATCGAAAATGAGAGTTTTGATGAAAAATAAATATAACGATCAATTAAGTTTGAAACTATACAAACCGAGGCGATGACGATGAGCCGTCCAGCCCCAGATGATCCACCAATAAGGGAGACAATAAGACTAGGAGCTATGGCAATAGTCCGAGTCACCAGGTTCCTAATCCATTTTTTCATCCTCAAGTCCAAGAAACCCTGTACAACCAAACAAGTCAGACAATTTTATGGAAACAACACTTTATTATAATAATAACAATGGCGGGGAAGGATGATAATCATCGTAGAATGACCTGCATAATGAATTGCCCTGCATATGTGCCAGTGATAGCAGAGCTTTGGCCCGAGGCTAGCAGTGCGATGGCATAAATGGTCGAGCTGGACCGTCCCAGAACATTCTACAGATCAAAATGATGAAAATGAAGAGTGTGTGTGAGAATTTAGTGGTTGATATTTGATTAAATGTGACGTAGTTATAGGATTAAAATTATGAGAATGTCGGAAACCTTGAGAAGGAAAGAAGCAGAGTTAAGAGTGAGATCGCTGCAATGATCTGCATTTTCGTGAGAAAGGTTGGGGGAAGCACAAACAGTGCCAGAGACAGAGATTACTGCCACATTGATTAGAAACGCTATGAAGAGTGCAATCCCACTTTCTATTAGGAAATATCTACAAGCGTCCTGCATTATTATTAATAAAATTTTATTAGCGACGTGATTAATTGAGACTGTTTATTTAGAAAAATTAACTAAAAAGTCAATTGTGCAGCATGAAGTTGCTATGGGAGGTAGGGAATGGAAAGGCTTACATTGATGCCACGCACGGTATTGGGGATTTTTCTAGAGAGGACGAGAGCAGAGTGGAGAAAAAGGTTGTGCCTGCAATAATTTAGCAGAGTGAACAATTAATTAAAGCTGGTGTTTAATAAATCAAATTAATTAAGATGATGAATCAGAGATTATAAGGGAGGATATGTACGGCATGACAAGAGCACCGAAAAGGGCAACGGCGTCGCCGGTGGCTCCCTGACCACTTAGTTTCGGCACAAACATGCCTTTGAGAACCCCAGAAGCTGGTGGCTTTACGTAGCTCATTTCTCCGAAGAAACATCCCGCCATAATAAACACTAGCGTTGATATCAGCAATTCCAGCTTCCTTATCTGTGTACACACACGCACACATATATATCCATCAAATTGTATTCATTTAATCATCCTTTTCAACACAAAACTGACCTTCCAATATTATATTCTCATTTCCATAATCTCCTACCACAATCCACAACACCATATATATATATTAGTAACGTGAAATCAAAGCCTGTTTACCCCGAATCTTTGGAGACCCAGAAGCAAGAGAGTGCTCAAACCAGTCAATAGAACTCCAGCCCACACGGGGATATGGAAGAGTATGTTGAGAGCAAAGGCGGTGCCAATCACTGCCATATAAGTTTGAACAAAGGAAAACATGATTAGACAAAGGTAATTAATAATTTAATGCGACATTCTGAGTTACAGGTCATATTATATCATCAGAGAATGATCGCCAAGGAAAAATAAATTATATTCCAGAGTACCTTCAGGGATATCTGCGGCTATAACGGCAAGCTCGGCCAATAGCCATAAGCAGTACTTGACAAACCATGGATACTCCGCTTTACACAATTCCGAAAGGTGTTTACCTTGTCAATTCAAATATACATACGCACAATAAGTTATGAAACAACACGTAATGATAAAAAGAAAATTTGTATCCTAATTACATGGCCATCGATCAAAGGTGAGCAAAACTGAGTGTTGGTGCTTATATTACGGAAAGAGAATAATTAAATCAATTACCTGTGCTCACGCCAAGATTTGCAGCCAAGGACTGAATGATGAGGGCGAAGATGAGCCCAATGAGAATCACCCACAGCAGCTGCTCAGATGGCAATGGCAAGAAAGTCAAGCGAAAAATTCTCATGTGCCCCGCCCCATCGATCGAATACTAATTATATATCCCTAATATTTCCCGGAATTTGATTCCTTCTTGTTTATGCATGCAATTATACATGGACCCTCGTACCGTGTACGTGGAAAATCTTTCAACTTCACCTTCATTAGCTAGTCTCTATGTATTATACATTATCTATGCTATTCAAATTTAGAACCGAATGGACTAACACATTGAGGGGTAATTCTTAAAAACAGTGAATTATATGTGAGTGTACTGCGAGTTTAATTTGTTGGCTTTGGATATCGATCAGGTACCTCATATCTGTGGTTAGCTCCAGCTTGGAGATCAGTTTCCACTGCAATGATGACGAGAGATGAATATTATTCATCAATTATAAGCAGACAAAGTAATTATATACACGCGCACACGCATATAAATAGAGGAGGGGGGGGGGAGAGATTAAGTAGAGGTAGTCTTACAGTTTCCAGGATCAAGGTAAGCCAAGGAAACCAGGAAACCAGGACCTATAAATGCCAAAAGCTTCCTCCAACCCGCAGGTTGTTTCTGTTTCATTGCAACAACATGGTAAGTATCAAAGTAAGACATAGATGATGGCTGAAACTAGAAATGAAAGACCTGTTGCTTTGAGTCCGCATTTTGGACAGGCGGCGGAGGAGAAGCGTCCACGGCTGCTATCCGTCTGCTACCTCCAAGCTGCTCCTGCTGCTGCTGCAGGCTTCCCATTGGCCTGTGCTTCTGTGGTGAGGAAGACAAGTGTGTTTCAAAATGTTTGTGAGTGAAGACACAAGAAGAACGGGTTGTATTTATAGTCTAAATGAAGTTGACACCTTCCATGCATATATAATCAAAGTGATGTCCAAGTAGTATAAAACAAATTTAAGTTTCTTTCTTTGAAAACACTTATGTCTTGTTCAGGTTATACAGAAAACGAGATTTTTTACATAAAAATCAAGATACATAATATTCATATTATTTTATTTGTTAATTAATACCTATCTCATTTGCTCAATAACGAAAGGAATTATATATTTGACACACCTAATACATTCTTTTGTGTGTGCGTGTATGTAAAGAATCATTCCTGTTAAATTGATTGACCCAAGGGGAAGCAAAAGCAGCATGATTCGTGATTTTATACTCATTCAGTTAGATAATGTTGTTTTTAAATGTTGAAGCTCAAGACAAAACGAGTTGATAACTTAGCCGTCCTTAATTATCCTCATCCTAATTTGCGAATGCAGCTTGCCTTTTCACTTTAGATTTGGGTCAACGCTAACTTGGTTGTCTAGAATTTTAAATTGTTCTTATTGAATAGACAACATAATATGTCTCAGGTAAAAAGAAAATGATATAAATAGAGACAGTGCTTTGGAAATTTATTTTTTATTGACTCTGTTGTGTGTATGTGTGTGTATCACTTTATTTAAAATTTTAGAACATTTAAATTTGATTACTCTCCAACAGGCAACTTATATACTATATTTGTCCTGTTGCAGAAAACAATTAAATCAACTATGATCGGAAGAAATAAGTTCTGTTTTTACTGATGTCGCAAGTAGACGAACGGCTGATGAGGATTAAAAGGGATACCTTTGACCTTAATTATCTTCAAGTCTTGTGACCGATTTCTCGGCGTCATGTGCAGTTGACGATGAAAGTGAGATCCAAATTAAAATCTTACAATACATTTTATAAGTTAGATGACTTTGCAGTGCCATGCTGCATCACTCGGTTGATGCATTATATCCTAATTTGACTGACATATTTATACGATAACATTCCAGAATATACAATTGTATTATTAGTGCCTTCAATGCCTCATTTATGTAAGGTATGATTCATGCCGCTATACTTTATTATTTCTCAATAAATTCTGACGAACGCCTCGACGGATATCTTGTCTCCACTCTATTGTTTAGTAGTTATATGAGTAGACTGCTATCTTACTTATCACTATATGCAAACTTGTTTTGCACCCCTTCTTTACTGATGTAGACCCTAACAGCTAAAAGCCGGCTAAATCCAACATAATGGGTACTCACTGATTTCAAATGGCATGGAGCGGGACGCATAAATCGTTTTCCTTACACAAGCATTTCTATAATTTATATTGGCACATCACTAAAACACGTATATTGAAAAAAAAAAAAAATCAGATCACGTGAATGGGAATGCATTCCACAGCCATTTACAAGCTTTTACGTTTGATTGATGAGTTGTGACAAGTACATTTCAACTTGTACGATAGGCGCATGAACATGATCAAAGAGTATATCACTCAATGAGAGCATTTTGCATCAGCTGGGAAATTTGACAGGAAAAGGAAGACAAGCATATGGAGTATCGCCGGTCCTCTGAATTCGAAGTAGTCCGTTACGGCTAATATGCAGTATCATCTTACGCACAGCAAATGCCAGGTCAGGTTCTTGCTTCTTTGTAGAATGGTTGTGGTTGTCAGACTTGGCTAGCGTCGAACAAAATGGCACTACTATAGAGACTAAAATGCCATCAAAAGTTCATTCTCCAAAGCCAACCTCTGCGAATAATCAAAAACTCTCTCCGATTAAAATAACAGCTACTCACATGAGGACTAAGATGATCATGTCCTGAATTTAAAATAGCAGCAAGCCGCAATCTAAATAATATTCAGCATTGGAACATACTGATTTTTTGAACATAACCGGTTCCATTCAGAAGAAATCAAACTACTTCCATTTCAGGATATCCTTTGCGAGCCATAATTGGTTTGATTTTCATGGTCTGCATGTATCTGCTCCGTATCCCATCTCTTATTCTCTTGTGCACTTCTTCGCTTAACAAGCTGGCCTCTCCCACTGAGTGCAGGGCATCACAAACCAATCTGTATGTATATTCTCTGGGTGTTGATCCTCCATCAACCAACTCAACAAGGAAATTCCGAGCATCAACAACTCTTCCAACTTCACACAAAGCATGAATAATAGGGGTATATGAACTTGAAGTGGGTATTCCATGATTCAAATTCTGCATACGACGTAACATCTCAATAGCTTTGTCTATCTCATTTACGGCACTATAATACCTAATGAAAGAGTCATATGTAACTCGATTGGGAACACAACCTCTTTTCTTCATATCTTCAAATAATTCCAATGCTCTATCAATCCTATATGTTTTACAGCAACCATCAATCAAGGCATTATACGTCACAAAATCAGGAACAAAGCCCTTGAAGAGCATTAGGCGAAACAGATGGTTAGCTTCCCACAATCTCCTCCTAGTTGCCTTCCTACTTCCAGTTTGCATGCTAAATTTGCAGTAGGAACTTATTAAAATAGTATAAGTAAATGTGTCAGGTGGGCATCTAAAGCCAGGAAGCTCCATCTGCTCCAACAAAAACCTTGCCTTTTTGTAATATCTCACCTTGCAAAGAACATATATCATGTTGTTGTAAGCATATACGTCCGGTTTACAGTGGTATTGCTTCATCCTATAGAATGTAATTAATGCTTCATTAACTAATCCCTCTTCTCCTAGTACTTTTATCAAACACGTAACAGTCGCCGTGGTAACCAACCCACCAGTCCTCCTAGACATCTCCTTCAGAAAATCCCAAAGAGCATTCAGTTTATTCCCTTTAGCCAATACACAAGCCATCTCCCTGCAAGTGGTCTCGTTGTGGGTAAATCCAAAATGGTTTTCGACCCAATAGTAGAATTCAATTGCTTTGCCCAATCCAAGCTTGACCCTCTGTGGGTCTCTGTGAGCAGCAGGGCCAAGAACAAGCACATTCTTGCGAAGCTTATCTTCTTCCTCCTTGAGCTTGCGTTGTTTCAGAGGAGCACGATGCCGGAAACCTCCCTGACGGCCAATAGAGCGAGAGGACTGGAAAAAGTATCTGGGAATAGACCTTAGCACTTCCGAAACCACATCAACCGTCCACAAAGAAGCAGCATTGGGATTGACAGAAGCTGATGCAGCAGCCAAGTGGGTATCAAAAGCACGGTTTTGAATCACGGCGACGAGTACCTGGTTCACAAGGTGTTTTCGATGCCAATGCACGGGCCTGGTTGGAATCATAAAATTCATTATTATGCCACGACCGAGACCATTTAATATGCAGCCTATATGGGGGAGAGAATGTCAACTTTAAAAACAAGGAGAACATGATCACAAACCATGCAATCAAATTCAAAATAACAAGGTTGGCTGAGGAGGGATTTGTTCAGCCGTTCAGGGCCTAGGTACTGCTTGCTATGAGAAAAATAAAAAACAGAAAAGGGGATTAAAAATTTTAATAAATTTGATTTGAAAAATTAGAGAAGTGGGGTTTTAAAATTTAAAAAAAATATAATAAAAATTAATTAAAAGCTTTTATCTTCACTTTTCTAATTTTTCAAATTGAGTTTGTAATGGATAACGAAAACTCATTTTTATTTTGGGTATACTAGCATATAAAAACTTATCTAAGTAGTTTAAATTAAAATGAGCGCTATCACAAATGAACAAGCTTTTATTTGTATTTACTTGATAAATAAAATTAAATAAAGATAAGGGTGGGTGGGTAAACTGTAAAGTTCCATGTAATGTAATAAAAAATAAATAAATAAAATGTTTTCTTTTTCGGGTCAAAAAAGAAAATGTTTTCTTTAGTTAAGAAATTGAAAGTATTTCTTGTTTGTTTTCCTATCAATGAGAATTTAAATTTTGTATTTAGAAAAAGGAAAATAAAGTTTTCAAGATAAAAATTAATATTTTTTTACTATTACAACTAGAATTACTTATTTAACTATATTTTATTTACAATGATAATTAAAAACAATTATTTGAAAACGCTTTCTTATTGATAATGATTAAGATAACCATTTTTATCTAATATATCAAGTGATATATCCTCGTTTAATCTGTTTTTCCTTACATCACCCAATTGTTTTTGTCCAACCAAATATAGATTTGCCGATCAAGCGTCATTTATTTCTTTTTCTTTCCTTTTTCATATCCATTTCTTTCTATTATCTCAACTTACCATCTGTGAACAGATGGGCCAATGTGAAATACATATCAACCAGAACATACGCAAGATTCGAATTCTTCATACACGTTGCCCGGGATATTGCTGGTTATGACGTTTTATTATGCAGCTGATATTCCACAGTATACTTGTCTTTCTGCGGCATAAACACGGGAATCTTTGTTCTCTTTTTCCCTTATATCGAACACAAGTAACAAGATCGCGAAGCTATTTGGAAGCCAATAACAATAATAGATACAGATTACAGTCACATGGCAAGTTTCCGCAAGACCAAGACTCTGACCTGGCCAGCATTACATAGTATGAATTTTAGTAGACTCTGGTCTTTTTTAACAAGTTGCATGTGCATAATTTTATATTCATAACTATCCCTCGAAAGAAAAAGTTCTGGCATGTTACAGCAAGCTCGAATTGTATTGCTGGCCACATCAAGAAGCTGCAAATATTCATCGGCACCATCCACAAGGCACTGCAAATCCACAAGCAATGAATAAGAAATGAGCCGCACAGGCCTTGAGCAAACTTGTCAAGCTTCTGAAAGCCAATTACAAGATGCCGAAGCCCCAATCAAGGAGCAAGCTGAACTACAGTTCTAAAGGACAAAACAGGATGGTCAAAACTTCTGACAAACCATAGGGATCACAAAGCACCTTATCTGCTTCACCCAATTTCTTGGATATTCTTGCCTTCTGTTCATCTGATATATCACCTG